AGCAATACTATGCCTATCGGTGCTGACCGTCAGCACCGGTAAGACAATCGACGTCTCGACGGCTAAAGAGCTGTTGGCGGCGCTCAAAGACGTGTCGGCCGGGGATGTGATAGCGTTGGCCGACGGCGAGTATCACAACAAATTCATAGCCAACACCAGTGGACAGGAGGGCAAACCCATCACTTTACAGGGCACTAAAAAAGCAGTTATATCCGGTTATAACTATGGATTTTGGCTTCAGGCCGACCACTGGGTGCTCAAGGTAATTATTAACTATAAACTATACGATACATTTATAAATTACAACATCAAATAATTTTATGAATCAATTGAAAATGCTAAAAAATTATTGCAATTTAGTTACTAGTTAATTATAATTATTAACATAATTATTTCTATGAAGGGCTTTACGGTAACCAATAGTAATAAGGGTATTGTGTTGGACGGCGCCAATCATAACATACTGGAGGACCTGGAGGTACACGATATCAAACAAGAGGGCATCCATTTTCGTAAGAATAGCGCCGATAATATACTGCGCGAGTCGTACGTACACAAGACCGGCACCGGTAGTCCCGGCTTTGGCGAAGGTGTCTATATTGGGTCAGCGGTCAGTATTTGTTAAACTAGTTGCTCGATTACATTATTACATTTTAGTTTGCTATTTTATTTATGGTTAAAAATAATTGTATTCATTTTATTTGTATGGTTTAAATTATATAAGCATCAAGCGCTTTAATTACAATTACAAACATTATGGTAATTATATCTATATATGAATAGGTGAGCAATTGGGAGGACAATAAGCCGGACAAAAGTGACCGAAATCAAGTGCTAAACAACCGGATCGGACCTAATGTGGCCGCAGAAGAGATCGACATCAAAGAGGGCTCGTGTTGTGGTGTCATTAAAAACAACGTGTTTGACGGCACGGGTATGTCGGGTGAGAATTACGCCGATTCCTGGATTGACGTTAAGGGCGACGGCTATACCATTGAGGACAACACCGGCGAACACACACTACTCGATGGCATACAAGTGAGTGTTCATTAGTAACTAGTTTTAACTAATAACCTGTTAGTGTGCTAATTAATGTTTCTGTTAGTTGCATTAGTTAATAAGAAAATTACTTATTATTAATTATGGTTAATATTGGTGTTAGTTAATAATATTGTTAGTAAATATCAATTCTAATAAATTGTAGTTTTAATTAATACTATTACATTTATCACGTTAAATGTTAGATACACCAAATTGCCGATGCTAATATGGGTGGCTGTGGCAACAAGATTATTCATGATAAATGCAAAGGCACTGTAAAGGGAAAGTGCGTTAACGACACCAGCAAAACATGTAAAACCAAGAATATTATTGAAGAATAAGCAGGCAATAACCATGGTAGTGAATTGATTTTTTAAACTGTAATTGCATTTAAAGCAAATAAATTTTATCTGAAATTTATATTAAAAAATAATTTAATAGTTTTTATTGAGTTGTATTTATATTATAACTTTATATTATATTTATTAAGTGCATAGCAATTAACAACTATCGATCTTGAATCAAGGTCCTTGATTGATTTAGTTTGAATAACAATCACACATACTTTCTATCCAAAACAGGCCATTTAGTTACTTAGGTAATTAAATGTTGTATATTGTCCTAAATTTTACAGCCTTAATCATTTGTTTTGTTAAGTTTGTACCTGCCACTTTATTTACCATATATTAATTGTACTAAAGAAATATTTCATAAAAATAGTTAAAATACTTTGTTGTAATAAGTTAAAACTAAAGTTTATAATATGTGTTGTTATTTAAAGGTGATTTAATTATAAAATGTTAATTTATTAAAGCAACATGATGACATTTTTTATTTTGACTAAATAAAACAACGTTAATTAATTATTTTTCAAACCAGTTTATAATTTGCATTTAACTATGTCAATTATTTGTAAATAATTTGAAACTACTTAATACTTACTGGAATATAATTCATAATTATTTTATTTCTTAAATTACAGTAAAATAAATTTTAATCAAATATATTTGTAATGATTTAAAAATTTGCTACACCATGGTTACACATCTAATAATTCTAATATTGTTTTATTATAATAAATACATTAGTTTATGTCGATCATAATAACATGTAAAGATTATAATGATTAATGAATATATCAAGTAATTTAACAGTAAATAATAAGATAATTGTGTAATTTAAATCAACATTCACAACTTGAATACTATATTTATTTATAAAGTTTTATTGCACGCACACAATATAAAGATTTTTGATTTATAATGTGATTTTTTAATTTATATGATTTAGATTATAAAGCATATAAATATATTGTGTGCGTGCAATAAAACATTATAAATTAATATATTGATAACTGCAATAATTTCTAAAATATTTTAAATGTTTTTCAAAACATGTTATTTATTATTAAGTATTTTAGTACTTGACAATATCTTATTTTGCCCCCACTATATATTTTACTCCCCCCACGTATATAAACTAGTGCTCCAAATGTTAGCTAAAACTCATTCCTGTCCCGTCCTGTCCTGAAGACATCTATTCCCGTCCCGTCCCAATCCTGTACTAAATGTCAAAATATTTTCCTGTCCTGTAATTTCCTATAAATCCTGTCGGCATATATAGAGGCTTCCAATATTCATTGGTGCCTATCGTTTGGCTAAAACAAGGCTTTATTTTGAGTTTCATACGCTCTCGTAGGCGCCGTACAGTCGAATCTCTATGTATTCTACACATACCATATCATACAGTACTTGCAAATACTGAAATTAATTTCAAAAAAATATTTTATTGCACTTTCCTGTATTTTCCTGTCATAATCCCCGTCCTGTCCTGAAGCTATCCATTCCTGTCCCGTCCCATTCCTGTAAGCATAGGGAAGATCTTTTCCTGTCCCGTCCCAATCCTGTACAGGTATGGGACGGGACAGGAATTTACAGGATTCACGTCTTGTTTTTGGGAGACTAATATAAACCACAGCTTCTGTGATCGCTCTTTACACAGTTAATAGTGAACTTATTGAGATCTTGCATAGTTCCCATTTTAACTGTGTGGACTCACTTCCCTCCCACCGGACAAGTACTACATTTGGGACAAGTCTGGTAAGTGTATGTCAGACCCCCTAATATCAGTAGGTTGATGTAGATTTGATAGGGGTAATTTGGTATCAGTAAATCATGCAACTTATGCAATAAATAATTATATATAAATCTGTATATACGGTACAGTTAATGTGGTAATATATTTGTCGATTTCAAAAATGTTTTATAAAAATATATATTGTTTTGTTCATTATGATTTAAAATATATTATTATTATTATTAGTATTATTAATAATCACCGAAATATAAACCGTATGCAGATGTTTACAAAAATGGTCATAACTTTCCCGTTTTTGGCCATTTGGTACATTTTACACTTGCATATAGATGAGACACACCGCCTAGATCTAACCATGTTAAAATGCTAATCAAATTCTCATTATCCCGATCTCCCGATTTAGGTGTAATGTAAAAATAATATAATTAAATTAATTAAACAAGGATCACACCGATGCTATACGTTAACCACAATTCGGGTAATGCTCAAAGAATAGATAGTATTTACATATTGTGTTTTAGAATTGTATTTTCAAAATTTAATTTTTAAAACATTACTTTTCAAAATGTTTCATTGTTACTTCACTTTATTGTTTCTATTTTGAAAATTTTTAACCACTATTCTGATATGAATATATAGGATCGTTCGGCCTTATGAGATTTAACATGGGATTACAGCTTAAACCTATGACATGGGTAATGCTAATTCTATGGAGCTAATTCCATAGACTTAACATGGGGTAATGTTATCCTATGGGTAATGTTAATCCTATGGGAGATTATTTTCCTATGGAAAAGCAAAATATGAAGGGTAAGGGTAGTTTTTTCTATGTTAATCCTATGGAACTAATGATAAGTCTATGGAAGAATGCTTTAACATGAGTTTCTATGGGATTACAGAATTACATTATCTCTATGACATAGGTTTAACATGGGCAATACTATTTCTATGAGACTAATGCTAAGTCTATAGCATAGGAATAACACGGGTAAAGCTAAGTCTATGACATAGGGATAACACGGGTAATGCTAAGTCTATGGGAGTAATGTTATATCAATGGGATAATGTTATTTCAATGGAGATATACTAAATAAATCTACCATAATAAATAGAACTAATTGTTGTCAAAACATTTAAATCTTTTAAAATAATATAATTGAAAATATTCTAACAATAGAATTGAAAAATTTAAAACTTTGTTGCATTTCCCGAATAGTGGTTAACGTATAGCATCGCTGTGTGATCCTTGTTTAATGTTATTGTTGATATTTACTCGGTTTTAATAATTTTCTTTGTAATTATACCTATTTTGTTTGTGTGCCCATAGACTCAGCATTACCCATGTTACACCTATGTCATAAACTTAAACTGTAATTCCATAGGATTAACATGGAATAAAACTACCTTTTTCCTCCATATTTCGCTTTCCCATAAGAAATTATCTCCCATAGGATTAACAGTACCCATAGGATAACATTAGCCCATGTTAAGTCTATGGAAAAAGCTCCATAGGATTAGCATTACCCATGTTAAAGTATAGCTATAGACATAAGCTGTAATCCCATGTTAAATCACATAGAGCAGGGGAGGGGGTCGGGGTGAGGGATAGCCGAACGATCCTATAAACCACATTATTCATAGCTGAATTGTGGTTAAAATTACTTTATTTTACCTAGAACATCCGATTTTGATGATTACTACGGCAGAGACTTTAGTACATTTTTAGTACATTTTTGTCAATAATGATTATCACAACTATTTTGTAGATGTATAACATTAACTGAATAGAGTATTTTGTGTCACCCTTTGGCAGATTCACAACTTTCCTGAGTCTGAATATTAAATGACTAATCGAGTCGCTGATTAATGATTACATAATTGAAATTTGCAAAAAACAATAAAATATCATTCATTCAATCCAAAGGTAAGTTATTCCTGTCGTTATGTTATGCTATAATTGTGATTGTTGATAATTATTGTTTAATTGTTGTTTTTGTTGATGTTTAATAATAATACAGTGCAACTTCTCCATAGGGAACAACCAATTGCACTGCAAGAGTGTTCCCTATAGGGAGGGTTACTCCAAGAGAGGTTCGAGTAAAAATGCCTAATTTTTGGTCGATATTTGAAAATGTTTATTAAAAATAGCAATTATTGAAAATAATCAGTAATTTTAGTTTGCTTAGCTGTATTAAAATGACAATTAAATGCCTTAGTCTATACGAATGAAATTTAAATGAAAAAAATTAATTTACACTATTATAATAATTTACTTATCAAACTATGAATGTAGTGCTTATCACAACACTTGCAATATTGAATGAAACATTTAATAAAATGTGTTTTTTGTTTGTTTAATGTCTTAGGTTTGAGAATATTTTATATACTTTACATGTCATGTGCTTGGGATTATTTATGTTCCTTATAAGGAGTGAAAGTTTTATCTTAATCTCTATAAATCCATTCCTAATGGAGAGGTATTCCTTACCGAGAAGTTCTCCTAAAAGGTTATTTTAACATTATAAGTATAGGAAATCCAACATACATTTAAATTCAGTTCCTATGAGGAGGGGTTCCCCCAAGAGAGGTTGCACTGTAATTGTATTTTTAAATATCCGAATAACATAGAATATGCGGTTTATTATTTAAAAAAATGGTAAAAATTATTGATGAAATAAGGCTTAAAATTAATAAGTCAATCGAAAGCAATGCCCAAACATTCGAAGCGTACGATTATATCGATAGGTTTTTACAAAAATATTTTATATTTGCCTCAAAATTTGATGATTACGTGAACGGCGTTTACGATATACGCCGACAATTGCCGATAATTATGGCCCGAATTGTGCTATTAGTAGTGGGCGTGAGGTTTGCCGTCTCGGCGGCGGTTAATACCCGTGAAATAAGAATATTTCTGTCGGACTCTAACTATCTGTTGGGTAATCCGCGGGTATTCTCTGCAATGATGAGTATATCGGCGTTTGTTACACTATTCGTTGGTTTAGTAATACAATGGTTGGAAATGATGGGCAAAATGTATTTTTTCAATTTACTATACCAATTAAAATATGGTCGTTTGCAATTCCCAATGAATCGTGATCATAATAAAAGATTCAATTTAATTAGCAATTGGCTGTCAAAGTATTATTTGCGGCAAACATTTTGGTCGCTTATATTTGTAAGCAATTGTATGATGTTATGGTCAATGTTAAAGGCTTATTTTGATTTCAATTCTGGTTTCACAATATTATTGGT